GTAATCTGAGATGGAAAATAAACCTCTCTCCTACCCAATTCCAAATCTCCTTCTTCCACCTCACCTTGCTACACTGGTGGAGTAGTGGGGAAGGAGTGGGGAGACTTGAAATGTTCCTATGAAAAACATGGAAAAGCTTTTTCCTCAAAAAAGCAACTACTCATTCTGGTGTGTGTGTGTGTGTGTGTGTGTGTGTGGGAACTGGGGAAGTTGAAAAAAAGTATGGTAACTTTTCTGAATGTTGTCTCTGTGATTGAGAACTATGCAAGACAAGGCTGGGAAATTTAAGCTGAGATCCTACATCATGTTCAATAGTCCATACACACTCACCTAGTGGAGATTTGATTGCTGTGTAGACCATTCTTCTGCCACATACTTACATTGGGTCCAAGCTATCTCAGGGACCGCCTGCTCCCGTACAATCCTCCCTGCGCTCTTCGGTCCTCCGGGAGGAATTTGCTACAGCCTCAGAAATCGAGGCTTGTGGCTACCTCCCGGGGGGCGTTCTCTGTTATTGCGCCTAAGCTCTGGAATGGCCTGCCGGACGAGATCCGTCTTTTAACATCTTTAGACAGCTTCAAAAAGGCTGTCAAGACGGATCTCTTCCGGTAGGCCTTTCCAGACTAGTTATACTAGATCAATCCTTCCAGCCTCAGATCAATAGCTATCCAATAGACCAGGGGTAGGCAACCTTTCCCCTTTAAGGGCCATGGGACTTCAGCTCCCAGAAGCCTCAGCCATGTTGGCCAATAATCCCATGTTTGCCAATAGCCCCTGGGATTCTGGGAGCTGAAGTCCCTCAGCCCTTAAAGGGGAAAGGTGGCCTATCCCTGCAATAGACGATCCTCACGTGACCCCATCAAGTGATGGGAGGATCGTCGAGCCAGGCTTTTCGAGTCACTGGGTTGGATGATTAAATATTTTAACTTAAATTGTTGTTTTTATATTGTTCTGATTTAATTCTGTTTTAAGGGGGGGAGGGGGTTTGCTCATATTGTATGTTTTATTGTGAATTGTATGTTTTAATTGTAAGCCGCCCAGATTGGATTACCAATGGGCGGGATATAAATAAATAATAATAATAATAATAATAATAATAATAATAATTGAACAAATGACTGCACAAATGTGTTTGTAGTTTGTGCAAGTCCAGTGAACCAAGTGATACATGGAAGGCACTGATGAGTACTTATGCACCATTCCAAATTGTGCAGCTTGATGTGCAACAGGTACACTTGTGGAACTTCACTCATGCAATTGTGAACTGAACAAAGCCATCACACCATGGCCACCAAATTGTATGTGTAACAGACCTTACATGTGCCTTTCCCCAGGGCTGCTAATTCATTTTCCCAAGGGAAGCACATCACACATTAGCATTTTAGAAGGAAAGTTAGGCTAGAACAGGGGTCGGCAACCTACGGCCCGCGGGCCGGATCCGGCCCAGAGAGGCCTTGTTACCGGCCCCGTTTTGTTCCTGCCGCCGCCACCGCCGCGGCACCACCACCGCAGCGGGTTTTTTTGCCGGCTTCTCCGGCAACATAAAATGGCTGCAGGGTTGCTCTCGGCAAGCTCCGCCCCCTGTACAGCGTCATCCTTGCTG